TAGGAACACAAATCAGTGTTAGAGTCTTTGCCTAGAGGCCCTGGGCTCAGTCCTTAGCACTTTACTTAACCAATGATATAAAATGAGGAGGGTTATCTGTGTTTCTAAGTAGAAGGAAGATTCAATTGGAGAGACTCAATCAGCATGCTAATTGTTACCTATTCTGAAAAGCTCATGGCCACAGAAGGGCGAAGACAAGATTGTTCCTCCTGAGATTAGAGTTTGGAGAGAAGATGCTTAGGGAAATGACATTAAACAGCACATAGTGAGGCCTAGACATAATTGCCAGGGGTGGAGACTAGAAGCCAGAGCCGGAGAATGGGTACGGACTTGGAAAGATGGGTTATTCTGATGAGTCTTAAGAGCAAGATGGTCAGAAGTGAAGGTAGTATTTTTTTGTAGGTAATGCAATTGTAGGCAGTGGTCTAGCTGGACCATTTAGTAATCCAAACTGAAGATCGCATCTCATTGAGGCAGAAGACAGGACAGAATCATCAGCAGTAGAGAAATGGATGTTCAACTGAATATCTGAAGATACTGAGCACACAGCAGGAAACAGAGTTGGAAGGAAGACTGAATTTATTCCAGGCAAAGGCAAACTATACTATCATGTTTAGAAAAAGCTGAAAGGATTAGATACTGGCTGAGGAGGACGTGGGAGTCGTTCAGGGGCATTGCTCTTCCCTGAGGCTTTGTGTGACTTCTTGAAAGCACAGGCTGTCTCTCAGCACAGCAAGTAGAGCTAATCCTTTTAGGGTGAATTTGTTTTAACTGCTCTGGTCATCTGTGGTGAGAAATATAGTCATATGTACTGACTGCTTGTCTCGTGGTTTAATGGGTGCTCTTCATAGATTCAATGATCTGTTAGATGAATCTCCACTTAAAATTATGGTAAAGAAAGACAGGTTTCTTATTTTCACGGGACCAAGTGGAACTTCTGAGTTTTTTTTTCAAGGTCTTTAGGAATCAGAAGAAAGACTGGAAATTTGAAATGGTAGAAGAGGAGAAAAAAGGCTGGGCACCGGTGGCTCATGCCTGTAATTCTGGCTACTTAGGAAGTTGAGATTTGAGGATCACAGTTTGAAGCTAGCCCAGGCAGAAAAGTCCCTGAGAATCTTATCTCCGCCTTAAGCAAAAGAGCTCGGGGACAGCCCATAGGCCCTGATTTCAAGCGCCACTACTGACAAAAAAGAAAGGAAAAAAAATAACTATTTTTAGTGGACTGGAGTTATGTAACTGAAAGAAGTATGGTCGATGTAATCTTATCGCTAGGGGATAACAGATCACTCCTGTATTTCATTTTTCAGACAGGTGGCTTAGGCGGGTAATTGTTCTCAAATGTTACAGCCCCTTAAAAATCTAAGACAAAAATTTGAGTTGTTTTTTAAGTGTTCTTAAAGTCAGCGCCTTAGAGAGGTACTCTGTTATGTCATCTTCAGCCTATTGATAAACGTGTTCACACTACTGGGAGGGAATGGGTAAAATTTTGGTGGCTAGAGATAATTCTTGTCTTTTTAACTCTTCAGTAGGTATACACTTGGCCACAATAAAGCCCAGAGGTAATATCTGTTCTTTTTTTGGCTTTTGTTCAGAAACTATTTTACATTACAATAAATCACCAGTCTTTTCAGCATCAGGTCCCTGGTGATCAAAGTATTCAATTACACTCCCTGATACAATCATGACTATCCTGATAGTTACTTTATGGACATCCTCTTCTCTTTGACAGAGAGCCTTGTTAAAAATTGGATTCATTGGGAGTCTTTATTTCTTAGTGTATAGATGGGTGTATGTGAACAATGACAAATGGCAATGAACTTAGGACCTAAGAGAGAAGTATCATCTTCCCTTCCTTTCTATTCTTTTTGCCTAGATTTAATGGGTTTCAAGTACAGTTGCATGTGTCTCTTGGGAATGAAAGTTGCATTTGATTAAGCTAATTATACAGAGATGTCAATTTTAGGGAACAGGAATGGAAGGGTTATGTTGTAGGTAAGCTTTCATAAGTAACTGTGTAGTCAAGTATAAAGGACTATAGACCTTAGATTTAGCAATTATTTGTACATATTCTCTACACAGTAGAGGAATTCCTTCTACACATTTTCCTGAAGTAAAACATTAAACTTCTACTTGAGATCTTCCCTTGAGTTCAATGGGTTGGCTGCAATGAGTATCATGGAGAGCTGGGACTGAGGGTTTTGCTGTCTACTAGGTCCACAGTCTATGTGGGTGCTGCCCTAAGTACCTTGCTCTAGCTCTAACTATTGGAAAATGCCACTTATTACCATTTCTTTAAGCTGTGGTCATAAGCCTGGGAGTCAAAAACACATCTATTTTTTTTTTTTTGGCCATTGTTTTTTTGACTTTGGGATACTGACTACTTTCCCTCTCTTCCACCCCCAACTGCCCTACTCTCAAGTTTTATATGTGAATCACAAAGACAGTGCCTGAGCAGGGACTTTTTGAGATTATTCTAAGACCTACCTGTACAGTGGTCTAAAAGGATTAATTATAATGACTATTAGCCAGGTGCTGGTGGCTTGTGCCTATAACCCTACTATTCAGGAAGCTTAGATCTGAGGATCAAGTTTGAAGCCAGCCCAGGCAGAAAAGTCCTCATGAGACTCTTATCTCTGATTAGCCACCAAAAAACTGTAAGTGGCACTGTGGCTCAAAGTAGTAGAGTGCTGGTCGAGTGCTAGCTTTGAACAAAGGAGCTCAGGGACAGCGCTCAGGCCCTGAGTTCAAGCCCCACAACTGACCAAAAAAAAAAAAAAGAAAAGAATCTGACATGTAATAAGTATTTTACCTGCTCTGTTTCCATTACACCTAATTCTAATCTTGGGCCCACCATGGAATGTTTGCTTCTGAGCACAACATCCCATTAGTGGACCGTCTAATAAAAAAACAAAATAAAGCTATTGTCTTATGCATCCACGGTATTACATAAGTTCTTTTTCAGGGTAGTTAGGTGTGATACAACTGAGTAGGAAGCAGAAACTGTACTAATGGTGGAATGCTGACTTCCCTAAAGCTATGGTTGTGGAAGTAAGGTGTTTTTTTTTTTTTTTTATTGTGAAAATACTGTACAGAGGAGTTACAATTACATGGGCAAGATAATGAGTACATTTCTTATCAAGCATTGTAGCCTCCTCCTTTGTTTCCCCTTCCCATCCCTTCCTGTCCTCTCCCCCCCCCCCCACTAAAGTAAGGTTTTTTAAGAAAATATTTTTATTATCTTTAAGTTGTTTTATTATCTTTAGTATTTAAGGAGCTGCCATTCAACCAAAGTAGTTTATGAATGCAATGTATCTTAATCAATGTCATTCCTTTTAATATTATTACCCACCCTTCCTAACCACTCCTTCCCTTACTTATCTTAATTTTAGGTTATATATTGAATGTATTGCCATCTAACAAAGCAATTTATGTGTACAACAAACACATCGTGAACAGTCATTACTTCAATATCTTCACCCCCACTTTGACCCACCCTCTCTCTTACATTTTTCAACTCTGTGTATGTCCAATAAATTCTTGTCTGCATTCTCCTCCCTTCCCCTTTATTTTTCTAGTCTTCTCCCCTTGGCCCCTCCCTCTCGCAAGTACTGGTACTTATTTTATTGGGTTATTTGTACTCTCCCTAAAGTCATTTTGGTTAATTCATTTGTAACCCCCTTGCTTACCACCTGGTGTATTTACTTGCAGATTTATAGGCACATTCTAGCTGCCACAAATGAGGAAAACCATGCAAGCTATGTTTCTCTGAATCTGGCTTACTTCATTTAATATTAAGCGATGTAATTAGTTTTTGAAAAGCAAAGATCATTAGGTGGCTGGTGAGAGAAGGGAGATACAGGCTTATGTCAGAATTGACCAACATCAACTGAGACTTCTAACCTAAAACAACTGGCAGAAAAGTTTCATCCTTAAGTCGTCTACCTGCAAGCAGGCAGGATCACTGTTTTTCTCTCCAAGATCATTTAGAAACCATCTAAATTTTTTTTTTTTTGGAAAGTGGCTATCTGATACATCTATTTAAAAATGCATCTTTTAAAAATGTATTATTCAGTGGTAGAATACATTGGGATCCATGAATTACATGCATCTGTCTTCAGGTGTTTCTGAGATCTTCTGTGAGAAGAGCTATGCTTTCTCTGTCATCTTCACCCATTTTAGAATGTGAGACCAGCCTCCCTGAATGTTCTCTAGTTGGGGAACTCATTATGGAAGCATTTTTTAGTTGGCTTTAAAATATTACTGTACTCATTACAAAAATCTGGCAGAAGAAAATAAGTAACTTCCACAAAGTGAGCTAGGCAAATTCCAATGATGGCACTTCATTTGAAATTTCTACCTAGAATACTAGTGCTAGCTCTTCATTAAAAAATAAAATATATTCTGAAATGAATGTAGCATGGTTGATCTTCTTGGTACAATAGAGTAACTCTGTTACTCTATCAGGGAAGTAGATTGCTTTGGAGAGTTCCATAGCCTGACTCAAAAAGTTATTTCTCATCCCAAAAGGACTTTATCAATAATCATATATATGATATAAGCATATGATGAATTAGCAATTTGGTATGACTTGATTATAATATCCATTAAATTGACAACTGTGGAAACTTGCTAGTATTAGAACAGCCATTTATTCCCCATTTCAAATTGTTTTGCTCTGTTCTTTTGAGTGTTAGACTAATAATGGATTTTTATACAAACACTAGGAAATAGCTCACATCGTATTAAAAGAGATGCAATCATTAATAAATAACAAGGTAACAATGCATATAATTACTTTTGAAGTGCTGCTTTAAGGAATAACTTACAGTAGTAGAATGTCTTCTTAGAAAAATGTGGATTTTTAGCTTCTTTTAAGAATATTAATGGCTTATGGGCAATAGGAAGCAATTGTTTTAAAAATAATTTCCTGACACTACTCTGAATGTTATATCTTCTCTACCATACCGTCACAAATGACTGATATATGTTTATTTTTGTAGTTAAAACAGAGCCAATGAGCAGCAGTGAAATTGCTTCAACCACAGCAGACGGGTCTTTAGACAATTTCTCAGGTTCAGGTAAGGAATATTAAATTAGATTTTCACATTAGTGTTAAGCATTTTGCCTAATTTGTTTATATATGAATGTGTGTACACTGTTGCATGTTAGAGTTTATAGAAGTATGTGTGTACATATGTATATGTATATATAGAATACATTCAGTATGATGAGCCTCCAGCTGCTGGTGGCTCACACCTGTAATCCTAGCTACTTAGAATGCAGAGACATGAGGATCATGGTCCAAAGCCAGCCTAGGCTGGCAAGTCTGTGAGAGTCTTATCTCCAATAAACTACTGAAAACTGGAAGTGAAACTATGGTTCAAAGTGGTAAAGTGCTAGCCTTTGAGCAAAAGAACTCAAGGACAGTGCCCAGCCATGAGTTCAAGCCCCACAGCCAACAATAACAACAAAAAAGTTGCTATCCTATGGAGAAGGAAAAAGGACTTTTTGGTCCCTGTACTAGAACTTCAAATCAGGATCTTGCGCTATTGCTAGACTTTTCTGGCACTCTAAACTTGAGTCCTGCTCCAGTCCAAATGTTTGCTGGTGAATTGGAGGTAAGCATCTCACAGACTTTTTGGCTGAGAATCCTCTGATCTCAACCACCTGAGTAGCTAGAATTATAGATGTGAGCCTCCAGTGCCTGGCTTGTGCTTTTTTCATCTACTAAATTATATTTATGAGTTTCTCTTTTATTTTTTAATTTATTTTTGTTAATACTGAAAATTCGCATAGGAAATATTTTTCTCCTGGTGTCCTATAAACAGACGTACAAACACATCTTCCCTAGCGTGTCTCATGTAAACAGAGGTCTAAATTAGACACTGCAAAACAGCATTAAATTCTTGAGTTCATTTTTTATCTTTCACATTAATAAAAATCTAACTACAGCCACAAAATATCCAAGTTTTACCTCTGTCATAATGATAATAATAAGAAAGTGATGGTGGTAATTAACTCACTATGAGATACTGATTTTGTGTTACCAAGTTACCCTGATTGGACTCTTTAACTAAAAAATTATTTCCAATAGAGATGACTTAAAATACTAACTTTTTTCATGTATTGGCTGTGTTTATACTTTTCAGTCAGAAATGCTATACTTTTATAAACCTGTGACTGGTAATATAGCTCTCAGGATCATTTTTAGTAAAAGGGATTATTAGATATAAAATTAAATGCAAATGGAAATTTTGATATGATAATAAAATCAGAGCAGGAAGAAGATAACAAGGCATAGTATATCCATTTGTTCTTTTATAAGACATTTACTAGGACCTATGTCAGGCTATGTGCTTGGTGGTATTATGAATTCTCAAATAATATAAAAACTGGCCCAGTTTGAGGCCTAATTAGGTTGACACAGTAGGATTTAATAATGTCATCCTTAAGACCAGCCAAGACATGTCTTGGTGGAGACAAGAATGTGTTGCACTGATCATGGAAGTTGTCTTAGAGTAAACACTAACACTCACTTTTTTAAAAGGAGGAGGGCCAGGTATCTATCTGATGGTTCACACCTAAAATTCTAGCTACTTAGGACACTGAGACCTGAGGATCATAGTTTGAAGTCAGCCTCAGCAGGAAAGTCCGTGGTACCCAAATCTCCAATTAATCACCAAATCTTAGAGTAGAGCCATGGTTCATATGGTAGAGCACCAGCCTTGAGAGAAAAAGCTAAAGGACAGTGCCCTAGGCCCTGATTTCAAGTCTCAGGAATGGCAAGTACACACGTGCACATGCATGTGCACATGTGTACAAGTGCGCACACGCACATAGTAAATAAATTAAGTAAGTAATGAAGTAGTCGAGTAGGAGAAACACATGTAGATTTAAGGAATGGGACAATTAGACATTCAGTGAGAGGTGATAGTAGCCACAGGGCATGTGACCTGGGTAATTACTACTAGGTTAGCAGTACTAGAGTAATGAATGAGTGGTGCTTCTACTTTTTCCTCTGAACTGCTCAGAATGAAAGTGGTGATAGGCTTGTGAGACTGAAATAAATGCTAGGGAGCATGAGAAAGCCTGAAGGTGCTTAGAAATACGGAAGATGTTTGACAGAAGAAACAAAGGTCCAAACAAGGTTGGAGCGATTAAATATGAGACCTTTTGTGGTAAATGCTTGTTCTAAAAGGGCTTCACAACCTAGATAAGAAGACATTTGGTTTAATTCAGAGTTGAAGACATGCCAGATAGGATATGAGAGAAAGTAGAGGCAAGAAATTAAGGGCTCCCTGAGAATAATTTAAAATAATTATGCGTGTAAATAGGCTAGAAAGAGAAGATAAGGTCCCATAACTTTGCATTTTTGTATGTTGCTAGAGAATGGAAATAAATATTCCAGAAAAAAGATGTTCCTTTATCTGAAAACTCAATAAGGTTCTATCACATTCTTCTTACAGTTCTCTGCCAGTCTCTTCCTCAGCCTTTATCTCACTACTTTTGAAGTATATTTTAGTATATGTCTTCCTGTTATGCCCTATAGAATAGTCTTATTCACATTGTAGTCCCATGGCCATTATAGTATTGAGTCCACTGAAGATGCCCAGTAAACATTTACTAAATCAGTGAATGAGTTGGCCAGTATGCTTGTGGCTCGAGTCATGGATTGGGGCAACAGGTACAGAATGTGGTGTTGAATTTGGTGGTTGAAGTTGGAAGCCAGCATTGAAATCTAGATGGAATGGGAAAAGTATTATACATATAATCCAGAATAATGTTAGGGCTCATCAGGAGATGTGGCCATTGAAGTTTTTTGGTACATTCAAGTTTTTAATCCAGGGGGTGGATCTGTGATGGAAATGTTGAAGTATTCTCACGAAAGCTCAGGAAAACAGAAAACCAGAGAAGTGGCAATGAAGGTGTTGTCTGGGATTTTTGTGATATCTGGAATCTGATATGATGTTTTGCCATTAGTTAGAACAGATATACAGGAGAAGCAGAGGGTCTTGGGAAAGAGGCCAGATGAAGGTAGTCAGATAATAAGATGAAGTGGCTGAATGTAGAAAGGATCCATTTCCCACAGATTGAATCTCTTTGTGTGACAGAGAAAAGAATTGAAAGGGCCTGGGGCATTGGATGAAGGTACAGAAAGCACAGAGACACAGGGAGATGTATCTTCTTTTACTGTCCTTTTACACTTTTCCCTCTCTCCAAAAGGAGAGAGGGAAAATGCAAAATAGAACCAAGAATGCTTTTGGTGGAAAACAAATCATGTGTGACAAATATGGTCATATAAAGGTCATTTTAAGCCAGACACTGGGTGGCTCCTGCCTTAATCCTAGCTACTAAGGAGGCTGAGATTTGAGGATCACGGTTTGAAGCCAGTCCAGGCAGGAAAGTCTTTGAGACTCTTAGCTCCAATTGATCACCAAAAAGCAGGAAATAATTCTGTGATTTAAACAGTAGAGCACCAGTCTTGAACAAGAAAGCCAGGGGACAGTGCCCAGACCCCTGAGTTCAAGCCCCAGAACTGGTACACACAAAAAAAGTAACATTGTGATCTGATTCATTCGTCCAAGTTTTTTGTTGAGCACAAACTGTGTGCCAAGCAATGTTCTTGCCAATGAGAATCTAGCAATAAAAAGTTGGAGAGAGTCCCTGCCATCTTGAAGCTTTCATTCTGTGACAAGGGCAGATAATAATTACTCAGGTGAATGGTGAGTCTTGGTACACCTAAATCAGCCACAAAAAAGTACACATGGAAGCTGAAGAGTGAGTGGAGTTCTTATTTAAGTTGGAGGCATCTGATAAGGGGGTAACTGAACAGTGATCCTCATAAATTGAGGACATGCAATTTGGTTAGATAACAAAGGGCTTGAAGTTGAGGATTCCATGGGTTGTAGCCTGTTATAATTTACAATTTTAAGATATCTCTGTTGCATGGAAAGACTGTGGGGATAAGGGTGGAAGCAAGGAACATTTCTGTGGCTCCAAAGGTAGATGGCTAGTAATTCACATTTTCCTAGAAGAGCCACTGAGGCAGGATTAAATGTGCCAGGATTCTGATAGAGAAAAGGAAAAGAGGAGAGAGAAATGGAACACATGATCACTGGCCTGGAGAGGCCCATTCAAGCATGTCCCCCTACTCTTGTATAGATAGATTTCCCTAGGCGTAAAAGGTACATTTTCTCAATGCCTCATTGTGGGCATGAGAAGACAGTGATGGACAAGAAGTGAGAAGCTGTCTGGTTTGGGGGTGTATTTTGAAGGGAGAAATGATGGCATTTATGATGAACAGGTACGTGAGGGTAAAGGGAAGAGAAGAGTCAAAACTGACCTCTAGACTTCTGGAAGTTGTCTAGATAGAGGTGTTCTGCCTAAGAGGGGTGTGGACATTGAGGCATGAATGAGGACTTGCCCCAACAAGATCTAGGGAGCTTCTTCCCGTGTTAGTACACGAAAGAAGGGAATAATTAGAAATGTGCTAAAACAGATACAGAGATAGGAGATACTATTGCTTATCTTTATGCACCCAAGATGTCCACCTTGGCAGAGAAACATGGATAAGTTGGCTGCTGCATTTACTGATATAGTTGAGGAAGGAACATTTCTTTTGCTTTAGGTTATTCTGTTCCAGGAAATTAAAATTAACTTAAATTGCTGGGTTATTGTGTCAAGAGGTGTTTTAGGTTACTAAAGGAAGACTACTTGAATTTTTGACTGAAAGCTACCCAGAAATATGGTTTGGAAAAGTCTCAGAAGAGAGAATTTATTACATGACATTAAGATGCTTATTAATTTTATTTTATTTTATTTTTTTTAATTTTATTTTATTTTATTTGAGAACATACTGTACAGAGGGGTTACAATTACATGGGCAGGATAATGCATACATTTCTTACCAAGCATTGCAGCCTCCTCCTTTGTTTACCCTTCACCTCCCTTCCCAGCCTCCCCCCTCCCCCCCACCCAATCATACCCCCCCTCCCCCCCACACCGACATTGTAAAGCTGGTTTTGACATGACATTTTGTACTTCTCATTGTTGCAACAGGTCCACCTGAATCCTTAAACGACTTGTTTGTCCCCGTCTCCTCCACATGTTATACTGACAAGATGCTTATTAATTTTAGGTTGCACTCAATTGACTAAACAGAAAGACCACATCAGGGGTTCTTTACACTTATTTTATAGGAAATACTGTTTCCTCCAATTAATAGTACCGAAGACTGGGTCAGGTTTATTATATATGCTGCTAAGTGACCTAAAATAAGCGAACATCTTCAATTCATTGTAGCTTTAAAAAAACTACATTGCTATGACACCTAACTATCATAGTCTTAATACACAAATATTATTTATTTGATTAGTTACTATGCACCTGGTCTTATCATATGGTAGAGAAATCAGAGGAAACTCCCGACGCCTGAAGCTCATGATTAGCACAGAAAATTAGCCTCTATATACTAAACATATTAACCATAATGCAATGTGGTGAGTGCTACATTACCAATAAATATTTGCAGTACTCCTGGGAAGCTCAGCAAAGGAAGACATGATTGTGAAGAGAAATGGATGTGTTTGTCTCTTGTGGAATAGTCCTCAGCAGAGGGAAGATGAGTACTCCAAGGCAGAATTGTATAGTACCCAAGCAACCAAAACAGACAGATAAAAGAAGGCGTGACCTGTGCAGGTATCTCGCAGTTTAGAGAGGCCACAGAGTACTAAATCAATGAATCTGGAATTTATCTTAAGGTAGAAAGTGAACAATCAAAAGATTGTGAACTGCAGTGAAAACAATTCACTTTAAGAAAGTAGCCTGTGGTGGCAGAAATGAGTGGGTGGTTGTCCCTGAATAGAGCAAAGGGATAGCAGTCACATGACTACCACAGTTGTCCAGATGAGTTATAATGAGTGCCTGCACAGAGCTGGTATCCTAAGAAGGATGGAACATGTAGGCAACATATGAACCAATTTCTATATTTGGGATGGGTGGATGAATGAATTTCATACATCATGAAATAGAGGGAGGAAGCAAACTAAGGATGAGGTTTCTAGTTTCAGTATAGAGGATTATAGATAGTATATTTTAATGAAAATACTAAGATCTGGGTTCAAGTAAAAACTTTCCCATTTATTTGCTCAAATGTGTTACTTCTTTAAACGCTGAGTTCCTTGTATGGAAATTGGAGAAGAGAACCCTTCCTGAGAGCATTTTGCTGGACAGGTGATCATGATGCTCATCGGGCAGGGTAGTAACACAGGTGATAGAACAAATTTAAGAGCAATAATGATAGGATAATGATAGTAAACACTTAAAAAGAGAAATGTTAATCACCTTATATTAATTGTATCATTTCATTTTCACTGCAGTCCTAGGAGGCTAGCCATTGTCATTAGAATCATTTTGTAGGAGGGCAGAGAGAGACTTAGAATAACCTGACTGAAAAGGTAGAGTTAAAATTTCAATCTAAGCTGATGTCCAATTCTGATTCCAGATCCTGTGGTTGTTTTCCATACTTGGTATGTATCAGGATACATCGTATGGATACTCATGAATCTCTCATGTAGTTTACACACACATGTACTTGTACTCTACATCCAAGCCTTTCACAACCTACCTCATTCTCTGGGATAAATAACCCTGACACCTTCCATTTTTTTTGTAAAAGTTTCTAGGTGTAACCTATTAAATAGAGGGTTTTTTTGTTTTCTTTTTACTTTATATGAACCATGACCTGCAAGTTACAAAATGTAAGTATAGAGCTAGAAAAGAATAAAAGGATTTCTGTGTCTTCTATCATCAGGAAGCATCCAATTATTTGATTTTTAAGCAGTTTGTACCTATGTATGCATATATGTATGTATGTGTGTATTTAGTGTATGTATTTGGTGATGGTGGTGGAGCTTGAACACTGGAACTGGGCACTATCCCTTAGGTTTTTCACTCAAGGCTGGTACTATACTACTTGAACCACAGCGCCAGTTCCAGGTAGTTAATTTGGTAGTTAATTGGAGATAAGAGTTTCATGGGTTTTTCTTGTCTGGGCTGACTGAACCATGATCCTCAGATCTCGGTCTGCTGAGTGGCTAGGATTACAATTGTGAGCTACCAGTGTTCAGCAAAAGTTATTTTGTTTTATTATGATCGTCCAGGAAAGTGGATAAGTCCACTTTGCCAATTGCCTCTTTTTAGGAGACCAGGCATTTTCAGGTGGTCTGGGCAAGAAGTACTCTCCATAGTTCAGTGTTCTAATCTCTCCCTCCTGTAGACCAGCACCTCACAATCTTACATCTATTTGTGCATCAGTCATCCCAGGTGGGGGGGCCAGAACTTGTCTGCCTGTTTCCATATGCAGCATCCGGAATGGTGCCTGCAAACCAAGTTGTGACTGAGTATCTTCCGAAATATAGGAAACACCTGCTGGGCTGCCCATCCACCACTTTAATGTAGCTGTTATCCATCTCTGCCAGGCTGACAGCCAGATAGAAGGTGAAAGCCTGGCAGTTTGCAAGCATAGGACTCATCTATATCTGTACTGTTCCCAGGTTAGACTGCTGTGTTTGTTTACTCTGGAAGGATTTGTCATAGGTTTTGAGATTCAGACCTAACTCTGCCATCGTCCTCCATAACACAAGCTAGAAAAGTCAAACATGAGAGGAGCAAATGCCCTGATGTAATAAGTGGGAAAAAAATATAATACTTTGCATGAAACTTTATGCAAGGTTTTTTTATAGAATAAAGGTAGTACACCATAGAGCTCTGAGGACAGTGATTAATAGAAGAAGAAAAATATAGAAGAAGAAAATGTATTGCATATTAAATTAACTGTACCCAAAGAATATGTATATTAGGCAGGTGGAGAGTAGGGAGTTTAAGGGGGAAATATAGAACACTACAAATAGAAACACACACACACATCTATATAGGTATCTACATATAGATATACATACACACATGCGCATACATATATATACCCAAATATAAATAAGTATGCAGCTGTATATTTGCACACACCTGTACAAAGAAAGTGTAGATTGTAGATAATCTATGTAGTTACACTGTCCTTGTATACAACAAAAGTTGAGAATTAGCATTCTAAAGCCTTGTTGGGGTTAAAGTGAGTTTTTTGCTTTTTAAACTCAGAATGAAAATGAATGAACATATCATAGAAGTTTGGTGCCCTTCTAAAACACAATGAATCAAGTAAAACTGATTACAAGAAATTAAGTGCTGCTTGAATGCTTAAATACCTCTTGAAAGGAAAAAAAAAAACCTTTTTGCTTGAACATTGAAGTTAAACACATAAATAGAAGGCAAAGGAGCACAGATCAGCACAAGAAAAAACAGGCTTAGCTTGCAACTTGAGTAATTTAAGATAGTTATAGGAATGCATTTTTTTTTTCTAAAACACATTGCTAAATCAATGCTGGCAAATGAGGATCTCTCCTATTTCCATTCACCTAAGAGAAGATTAGACCACGTTTCTCTGTAATCCAGGCTGGGGTTTGTGTGTTCCCACTGAGCACAGACAATAGATCAGGTGACCTTTCACAGTACTGCCCAACCCTGCAATTCAGCTCCATACCACCCCTTTCAGCCTGGCTTTCCAGACTGGAACCAGAACTCCTGGTTCTTCTAACGTATTGCCACTGTAAAAAACCATCTCAGTAGGCTGACAGGTATTTAAGGCTATGCCTACATTTTCTAAGAGATCATTTAAAATGAGTGCCACTCGATCCATTCCTATAGACTGTTTTTTTCAGTTGGTAGAACCATATGAAATGGCCAATTCTGTGAGCCACAAATATAGTTCTTAATATACCACTTGTTTATTCAGTTTCTTGTAATACTGAATACTTTTCTTTTTTGTTGTATCAGCAATCGGGAGCAGCAGCTTCAGCCCAAGGGCAGCTCACCAGTTCTCTCCACCACAGATTTATCCTTCCAAGTAAGATGTATTTTCTCTTAGTCAATAAATAACTTTTCTGAGTAGATTTTTACCTCATTTTAAGTCATGTCTATACCCACATGTTACATCCGAGTTAAACAAAAGTGCATTTTATAGAGGCTTACATGTATTTGTGCGTTTATTTTGAGCATCACTTGTAGAGATCCTGAAGCAATTTAATGCTTTGTCTATTAGATTTGGAAGTTTTACTTTGAAGATATACTCTCTTAACTGGAATTTGTGATGTGGTTGTTAATTGGTTACCTTGCATGTTTCCATCTAATGCATGGGCTTTCTATTTTCTGTCATTTCTGACAAATAGCAGACCATACCCACATATTCTCCCTACCCCTTCCTCACAAACTATGGCTGCATATGGGCAAACACAGTTTACCACAGGAATGCAGCAAGCCACAGCCTACGCCACGTATCCACAGCCAGGACAGCCGTACGGAATTTCCTCCTATGGTGAGTAATTCTACCATTGTTGTGGTGCCCTGTTCTAGTGGGTGTATGCATATCTTCTAGTGGTACTTAAATCTTGGGCAATCTTTAGGAAATTGTCACCTGTTGTGTCTAGATTCTCCCTGTGATTGTTTTAGTGAGCATGAAAAAACAATTGTGAACTTTTATCTTGAGGTCAGAGGTGGTGGGCAAGTTTCATGGGTCATATGTCTCTCATTTTCCTTTTCTTCTACGTACATCTTCACTCTGAATCTTGCCATCTGAGCACTGGCTGTGGAATCCAAAGTATTTTTTTGTACGTGTGCATATTTGTGATAAAGCCTCTGAGAATGAAGTCTTTTGGGGTAAAGATCCATTTCCTATTTATCAGATTCTTAGCTATGATTAGAGAAGTATACATGGAATTCAGCTAACTACTGCCCTAAACTTGGGGGGTGATTGGATTACTAAATTTCAGCATTATCAACCATTAGGAAAAGTGATCTACATATCACCTCCTGGACTGTGCTTTGAAGAAACAAATCAGGAAACAGTCAGAGCTCACATTGCTCATTTGTTCCTTCCCACCTAGAGATTATCTTTATCCTGGTGTAATTTAACTCAATTGTTTCAGGGTCAGTACCTGTAAATTAAAAATAAATCCAGCCAGATCCCAAAGTTCAATTTCTAAAAAGCCTTTAGATTTCACAACACATTTTCTTCAATTGAGTTGTGATTGCAATTTTAAACAAATTGAACTGAACATAAATACATGAATTACTGTTTTTTGTGAAGAAAAATAAAACTAATGATCAAGAAAATGCACACAAATATTTGAAGAAAGGACTGGTAGAATAACTAATTCTGTGATTGCTAGAATAGATTTTTAAAATTTCTATTCTTACACTTCTTTTGGTGTTCTTTTGTTATAATCTTTTCTGCAGAATCTTGAAACAATCAATGCTCTTTTCAAGTGTTTCGTTAATAATTAAAAGCTAAACTACTTTATTCCTCTTAGTGCCCTGTCTTTACCTCAAGCAAATATGGGCTTAAGTAAATTTCTTAAAGAAGATATAAAACTAAAAATAAATTATGTATAGCTTCAGCTTTTAGAGTTTTATTTCAGAATTGTCAGGCGTAAAGATTATCTCCTGGGTACTTTGAAAAACAGACTTTGAAAGCAGTCTTAAGTATTTTCTAAAATTGTTAATTTCATGACTTTTACTCAAAAGTTTCTTATGATAATATTATATATGGGTCAAAATTTTCATTTTAAACTATTTTTTGAAATGAAAGAAGTATTGGGTAGCTTTTATTCTACAATTTGAATCAAGACAAATCTCCATTACTCACGAATTCATGTGCTCATGTACTTGCAAGATGATTATCTGAAATGCATATGGGATTTTCTGTACATATACAATAAAGCACTGCTGATCTGCCAGTGCTGCCTTGGGAAGTTCTTCCTGTTACTCCCTGTATGCCCCATATTTCTCTTTTCTCTTTGACATCCACCTTGCAAGTTTCTGGGCTCTGGGATAGGGACTCTGTTCAGATCCATTACCAAATGGACCTTGTCTGAGATGGCTGTTGAAGTAAGATGAATAGAGAGTGAGATGACAGAATCAGAACTTGTAGATTGATGATAGGGATTTTAATGTTGATAGAGAGGGATGGGAAGTTCATGAAGGGAAGGCTCAGTGTTTAGAGCTTTGATGCCAGAACTATACATGGTTATAAATCTTCTTTCAGTAAATCTCTATCCTTAGCATCTTTCCTGATCACATTTTTTTATTGTTGTTGTGTTTGAACCTTAAGTACATAGAGATGCCCTGACTGCTTGTGCGGTTCTCTCTTTCATGGGCCAGTGCACTGAAAAATATAGCAGCATGTCTCCTTTGGCTTGTTCCTGGGGGAAGAACACAGGTTAGGCTTCTTTGGCTCAGATAGTCAAGGTCCAGAAATTGTAAAAGCCTTTCTCTAGGGACCTGTGCTTGAATTTTTACTTACACCTTAAAAAGAAAAAGGCATACTTTTCATAGTGAGAATCCATGGTCCATGGGTAAGAGTAATCCATTCTATTCTTCACTGTGTCTGTTTTAGTCTACCAGGGAAATGAATTTGCTACCTCTGGACAGTGGACATGGTAGCAAGAGTGTCTTTGACTGTTTCTCTCTCTTTCCTTGCTTTTCACCTATGCTTAGGACCAACATTCCCATCGTGTACCATCTGCTAAAAGCAGATGATACTAGACAAGGCTGGAGGCCAATCAGCCTGCCCTCAAATGTAGAGAGGAAGGGGGAAAGTCCATTTTGGTGATACAAGGAAAGAAAGGGAGTTTCTAAAGCCATAAAACCACCTGTCTTGGGCAGGTGTCTCCAGGGATCATTTACATGTACAGGTTATACAGGGGTTTAGGATTGCCTGTATAGTGAGAAAAAAAATCACAGTTTTTTTAAATGTTAAGGTTGGGCTAAGCCTTAAATGTTAAGGTCATTATGAAGTATTCAGAGATTCTCCAGGAATTAATTATGAAGAGACTCTTTCTGCCAAGAGTCAAATTCTTCCACTGCCTCAGGACAATTACCTAGCTTCATTCTACTGGTGAAATTCCCCTAAAATGGAAATAAACAGTAAGACTACTGTGTGTTCTAGATTTGAAAGATATCATTTATCTAGTACCAAACCAAAATGATTAAAAAATGTGAATTCTTTCGGCATGGATGTCCCTCTCCACCCTCTGGGGGGATTAAAGACAGTTGTTCATTTTTATGACTGTCTTTAATCATGATGCAGAGTGGAGCTGCCAAGCCCCAAATCCTGAAATTAGGATGCCAGCCAGGTACTTTGGGAGCTATTTCAGAACCACAAATACATATTTTTATATGATTGTGAAAAGCATAAATTAGTGTGTCTTCCGATACATTTAAAATAATTTTATTGGAATATTTTGAAACGAGAAGAGATAAAAAGGTTGCTGCTAGAAAGTCTTTCTATTTCATTCATTCATTTATTCATTCATCCAGTGCTGCCTAGCGTGTGAACTCCTGGGTCTTACATTTGCTAGGCAGATGTTCTTATCATCCAAATCCTTTTTTGTTTCTTGGTTATTTGTCAGAGAGGGTCTCCTGCTTTTTGCCTGAGTCCAGACTGGGAATGCATCCTTTGGAGCCACACCTCCTTTTCCTGTCAATCTTTGTTGTTTGTACAATAGAACTGTCTTCAGAGTTTACTTCTTTGATATTCTACTTCTTTTGTGTTTGCCTTCTGGTATGATCTAAATACACGGGAGAAGATTTTCTCTCTTGTTGCTTTGTTCTGCGTCCAGTGTTGCTTCCCCTGACTTCAAATAAATATATACCAGCATCAACAGTGTACGAAAGTAGGGGAGCAGGAGCAGGGAGAAAAATAATATGGTGAGGTTAGAGGCTCTAATTTCAGGGAAACATAAAGATTTTGGTTTAGCTTGTTAATTTTGGACTAGCCTAGGTAACATTTAATTTTGGATATTTTTCCTCTTAAAGAAGTGACTAACATATAATACACCAACATGAAGTATAGAAATATTTGTATTTTAGAAGTTGTAAAAATATCTATATTTTAGACAAAGCTAGGTGTGTGAAAATGAGAGAGAACCCAATGGGTAGGCACTCAAAGGTGGATTTTTCAACATTCAGGCATAAATTAAATTGGAGTTGTACTGTAAGCATGTGGATCCGAGGGAAGACGGGAAGTCGTTTGTGTCTGCACAGATATGGGAGCATATGTTTTTATATCTTTGCCAGCTTCTGCAAATGAACAGATAGATAAGCTGTCACTAACTGATTTAGGTACATTGTGGGCAGGCATCAAGACGGAAGGTGGACTGTCACAATCTCAGTCATCTGGACAGACGGGATTTCTCAGCTATGGCTCAAGCTTTGGTACCCCGCAACCTGGACAGGCACCATACAGCTACCAGATGCAAGGTCTGTATATAGCTTGACGTGGAGGCTTTCCTTTGCCTTTACATAGACGGACATGTCATTTGTGAAGTAAATCCGATGTTCCCTTAGATAGTACATGAAGTTATGTGGGCCAAGCGAGACATGACACCCACTTCTACTTCACTTATGTACATGCCTGCTTTCTGGGCTGCAATGCCCATATTTATAATATCAAGGATGTGGAATGATGTATAGGTTTTTTGCTAAAAGCACCATTTTGTATGTGTGTGTGTGTGTGTGTGTGTGTGTGTGTGTGTGTGTGTGTGTGTGTGTGTGTTGCTTAAGTTTTCTGTTTTTGTCTTAATTACCAACTAGAAAAAGAATGAAAAGCAAGGAAAAGGCAGCCATGTCAGGGGTTGTAGTAGTATATGCTAGAAACACCTGCATTAGATTTTGCCCTCCTTCTTTCCTAAGAGTGTTGTGGTTTCTTTATTTTCATGCTGGAAGACTCTAAGAATCCAGTGTATATGTATTAATTATCTACTGAAAATCTACCAAATTTACAAAGATCACCTTTACACCTATCCAATGAATCTTTGAGATAATTCTTTCAAGAGCCAGTCTCTGGGTTCTGTTTTTGAACTTGTAGACAAAACATAATATAGGAAGTACAAATCAAATGGTGTGACAGCAGAAAGTTTGCACTGTCAAAGCTTTCTCAAGAATATGTTAGCAGATTGTTATCATGTAAGTGTACTTAAAATTGCTTGAGAATAGGTCTTAAGTAATTTAGATATTCGAATATCTTTACTATAAATCAATTTGACAAGCAATATTTGCCTCCTAATACTAATAAATTGTAGCTGAATTAAATTTGTTATTACTACTTTTTGACTGAAAGGAAAGTTTTCATCTTTTAAAAACATTTTTGTGCCAATCCTAGGGCTTGAACTCAGGACTTTCAGCTCTGCTTTATCTGTTCATGACTGGTGTTATGCTACTTGAGTCACACCTCCAGTTCTGACATTTTGCTGATTAATTGGAAATCATAGTCTTTTGGATTTGTCTGCCTAGGTTGGCTCCTAATCTTGATTCTTAAATCTTAGCTCCTGAATAGCTAGGATTATAGGTGTGAACTACCAGCACCCGGAAAGTTTTCATCTTTTTTATATTTATTATTATATTTTTTATATTGATATTTATTGCTGATGAATTAGAAAGTGCATAAAAGCAAAAGTAAGTACTATGAATAGATCCCATATATTTCTTTTTGTTCTATTATGTATTCTAGGTATTCATATTTTATGATACTGTCTTGTAACATACTATTTTCAGCAGTAAATATATTATATAATTTTTAACATCAGTAAGTTCTTTTCTATGGAGTCATTTTAATGGCTATATAGCATTAATTGATAGATTGTATTTAATTTCCTATTATTGGGCTTCTGGAGGACTACTGTGCATATCACTTTATTTCATTTGGAAACCATCAAGTGTGTAGCTCCTAGGCAAACATATTTATTTAAGAATTTCTAATATATTTTCAGAAAGAAGGACTATGCACTAGAATGCATACAGTTTGGAATAATACTTTTGAATCATTTTTGGAAAATATTTTAAAAAGAATTATCACTTTAGTAGATACAAGATTTATTTTCATATTCATTTTTTGAAACTGAGGAGATAAATTGTCTTCTCATTACAATGTTATTACTTGTTAATGTCTTACATTAATGTTCTTAATTATACTATTTTATAACTATTTTTGGCTTATCTTACTTTTTTTAAAGCTAGGTTTTGAGCTCAGTGGTTTGTATTTGATAAACAAGTGCTTTACCATATGATCCAATGTCCCCTCCTGGCTACTCAAGAGGCTGAGATCTCAGGATCACAGTTTGAAGTCAGCGAGTTGCAGGAAAGTCCATGAGACATTTATCTCCACTTAACTACCAGAAAATTAGAAGTGGCTCTGCAGCTCAAGTGGTAGAGTGCTATCCTTGAGCAAAAAAGCTCAGGGGCAATGCACAGGCTATTGAGTTCAAGCCTCACAACAGACAAAAAAACAAAAAAAGAAAGAAAGAAAAGAGAAGTATTTTGCATGTAGTCTTCCATCATTATCTAGGCTGGCTGCAGACCATTATTTTTCTGTCTATGCCTCCTGTGTAGATGGAATAACAAGTGTACACCACTATACTCAGCTTATTTGTTGAGATGAGGTGTCACAAATTACTTCTCCAAGCTGGCCCTGAACTGAGATTCTGTGGATTTCTGCCTCCTGAGTAGTTAGGATTATAGACACAAGCTACTGTGCCTAAATGACAATCTATCTATCTATCTATCTATCTATCTATCTATCTATCTATCTATCTATCTATCTAGTGGGCCTTGAATGTACAGTTTTATGCCTGGTACTCAAGATCTCTATCACTTGAGCTCTACCATAAACCAGTTTGTTTCTATTTTGTTTCTGAAAGAGATTCTCACTGACTTGGACTGGGTTCCTGCCTCTACTTCTCAAGCTGCTGGTATTAAAAGTATATGTCATCAACATGTTTTATCTTCTTTTGTGGATTTTCCTTTCTTCTTTTTTTCCTTTTATTCTTCCCTATTTCCTATATATGTGTGTGTGTGTCTGTGTACACACACACACATGCACACACATATATGATGAGATATCTTAGAGTCCACATCTACACATGTAATCCATTATGTTTCATATACACCTAATATAAATATAATCTGAAGGTAATTGTATATATGTTTTTAGTGCATCTGTATTTTCACTGAAACCCATTCATGAAGTCAGATGTGGGAAATTCCACTTGGAGATGCCATGTAGATATTCAAAAAACTTCAAATTTTGGAATAGATCTACTCAGGATGCAGTGTACTTGGGAGTTATACTTATTTCTTATCTGACTCTCTTCCTAGATTAAAACCTTAGGCATCAGTAACAATTCCTTAGAGGACTAAATAGCTCTTAGTTATAGTAAAATGTTAATGTAGAGTGCAAATGAAAGGGGGAAAGAATCTTGCAGGAAAACAATACTTTTAAAATGAAAGAGGACGTGTATAGCAGTGTTGAATATTGCTTGAAAACTTGTCTTTTTGCATACCATGGTTGAATCACCTTTCCAAAGAGCTTTTAGAACCCATTTTCCATATCTGAGATATTATTTCCTGTGGAGATTGGTAAGTCATTCAATTTTAGATTGAATATAATCTGACATATATATCAAGGAAGATGATAATGTGACATTCCATTAGATACCTATTTTGCTATTGTGATATGATTATGGATCGTATGGTGTACTATGCTATCAAATATACATGGAAAAAATTTGGGTACATATAATTACATTCTAAGTAATATTTACTACTTAGCTAGTAAATGCCCTGTGAAAATGACTTTGCCTTTATTGAATAATTTTGTTTGCCTAATTGTGGAATTCTTTTTTTTTTTGTCAGTTGTGGGGCTTGAACTCTGGGCTTGGGCGCTGTGCTTATGCTCTTCTGCTCAAGGCGAGCGCTTTACCACTTGAGCTACAGTGCCACTTCCTAATTGTGGAATTCTTTTAAGCATCTCTTTAACATCTGACTTTTCAGTTTACTAATTTTGTAATGTCTAAAATTATTTTCAGAATTTGTCAAATTCTGTTCTTTTTGTTGTTGTTGGTGGTGGTTGTAGATCTTGAACTCAGGGCCTGGACACTGTCCCTGGGTTTTTCTGTTCAAAGCTAGTGCTCTACCATTTACAGTGATGCCTCCATTTCCTCAAATTCTATTCTTAATAAATGATAATAAATAATACCATTGCTTATATCAGTTTTACTTTACAGCTAGAAAGATGGAGAGTATATGTATTTTATCATCTGTGGGCATTTATAGGGGCAGTTTGGAGGATGGAACTCAGGGTTTGCACTTGCTCAATATGTACTCTTTTGTTTGATCCACACACCCGATATGTATGGTTTTTGCTCTTTGCTTGTTGTTGCTGCTGTTTTTTCTTTTGGATAGAGTCTCTGTTTTCCTTTTTTGCCCAGGCTATGCTACTCATTACTTCCACCTTGAGAGTAGATGGAAGTATAAACAGGCACCATTACTCCTGGGTTGTTTTTGAGGTAAAACCTCTTGCTATATATAGGTGAGCCTGTCCTCAAAATCTCAGTCCTTCTCTCTTTGCCTGCTGAGGAGCTGCCATGACACCCAGCCTGCTAAGAGCATTCTTGTCTAGCTTTTCCTCCAGCAATATCCTTTTAATCTTTAAAACATAAAGTATGATGATTAGTTACTCAGAGAGTTAGCCGCTGGAATTTAATATTTGGATTTCATAGTAGTAGGTTAAATAGTCTAGTAGGTCAGTCAACTCAGGTAAACTGAAATGTGATTGGATCAGAGGAAATGTAAGAGGACCACTTCCATGGGGCTGTGAGACTTGGAAGAATGAACTAAAGATTCAGTGATGTTTTGTAGTGTGGATCTAGAGGTTAAGTGCAAGCTGTTGGCTCTGCCCTTCCATTTATGGGCTATAGTATGAAATGTGACTTGTCCACACATTTCTGATCTCCAGTGTTGATATGGCTTCATAGATTACACTGCCTAACATTTGGTGCTGTATGAACTCAATGGTCATTTTTACTCTTGCTACTTCTTGTGATAGTGACATAGTTATACCCTTGTTTTAATTATTATCATTATAGTCCAGTTTCTGGAATACTTCCAGATTAGGAAGACTATGTAAATGCTTCCATTACATCCCAGTTCCCAAAGAAGGGGTGGACATATGTGTGAATGTATATATAATATACATATATATAATATAATATATTCAAAATATATGCATAATAAAAAGATTACATATTTTTAAATAGTTTTTAATAAACATGACAAAAGTAAAATAAAATAGAAGTAAAAGAACTAGATCAAATTAATATGCTCATATGGAAAGAAAATTACCCTCAACAGAAAGCACTTAATACATGATTAAAGATATATATAAAGAGAGGTAAGGAAACATGAAGAAGCAGCCAAGAGCAAAA